CGTTCGTTTAGCGGTCGTTTAGCGTCCGTTTAGCGTTCATTTAGCGTTCATTTAGCGTTCATTTAGCGTTCGTTTAGCGTTTGTTTAGCATTCATTTAGCGTTCGCTTAGCGTTCGTTTAGCGTTCATTTAGCATTCGTTTAGCATTCATTTAGCATTCATTTAGCATTCCTTTAGCGTTCGTTTAGTGTTCGTTTAGCGTTCGTTTAGCGTTGGCTTAGCGTTCATTTAGCGTTCATTTAGCGTTCATTTAGCGTTTATTTAGCGTTCGCTTAGCGTAAATTTAGCGTTCGCTTAGCGTTCATTTAGCGTTCATTTAGCGTTCATTTAGCGTTTGCTTAGCGTTCATTTAGCGTTAATTTAGCGTTCGCTTAGCGTTAATTTAGCGTTCGCTTAGCGTTCATTTAGCGTTCATTTAGCGTTCATTTAGCGTTCGTTTAGCGTTCGTTTAGCGTTCGCTTAGCATTCATTTAGCGTTCATTTAGCGTTCGTTTAGCGTTCATTTAGCATTCGTTTAGCATTCATTTAGCGTTCATTTAGCGTTCGTTTAGCATTCATTTAGCATTCATTTAGCATTCCATTAGCGTTCGTTTAGCGTTCGTTTAGCGTTCGTTTAGCGTTCGCTTAGCGTTCATTTAGCGTTCATTTAGCTTTCATTTAGCGTTCATTTAGCGTTCGCTTAGCGTAAATTTAGCGTTCGCTTAGCGTTCATTTAGCGTTCATTTAGCGTTTGCTTAGCGTTCATTTAGCGTTAATTTAGCGTTCGCTTAGCGGTAATTTAGCGTTCGCTTAGCGTTCATTTAGCGTTCATTTAGAGTTCATTTAGCGTTCGTTTAGCGTTCGCTTAGCATTCATTTAGCGTTCATTTAGCGTTCATTTAGCGTTCGCTTAGCGTTCATTTAGTGTATATCTTAGATCCTTATATGGTTTCTTCTTATACTTTATATTTTTGCCATTTTTGGGTGTAACTGGGACCTTGAGTACACATTTTCATTTCACCTCATCTATCACATGCTGTGAATCACAGTAAAGATACTTGAACTTGATTATAATCACTCAGCTGTAATGCATGAAATAAATGAAAAAAGCACAATCTAACCAACTAGTGCCTTTAGGCAAACATATCACATTGTCACATAGTTTTAGAAGCTTGTTTCAGTAGGGAAAACAAATCTATTTGTTTCCATCTTGAGATGTGAGTTTTATTAAAATCTATCTGTTCCACAAAAGTTATCTGAGCCACAGAAACTTTAGTAATTGTCTTTTAGAGCAGATGCCCTTCTTCATGAGTTGTGAGATTACCGGTAAGCTTAGTTCGTTTGATCTTGCTGTTTCACAGATTGATGAACCTAAAGGTAGACAAATGGATTTGTTTTTTTCACATCAGCTCAATTTGATGGCAGATTAAATCTAAGTAAACTTGATAAATCATCATCGATATTAGAAAACAGATCCTGCAAAGCTTTGCCCAAGAATCTATCATGTTCTGTGCGGTCTGTTGAACCCACTGGGCAGACAGGACTCGGGGAACTCAGGGCTAAAATAAAGAATATTTATTTAAATAAACAAAAGGGCTGATGTTGCAGCAAAACTTACACGGAGCATGAACAAGGAGACATGGAGGAACACAACATGAGCGCCTTGGAAGGACAATCCACGGACAAGGAAGAAATGAAATGACAGAACTTATGGGGAAACTAACGAGACAATAATCATGAACAGCTGCAGGACAATGAGGAACAGGAGATAGAGACAGGAGCTGGAGCTGATTACATGAGGAAGGAACGCTGAGGGGGCAGGAAGACTTAAACACAGAAATCTAAAGAATTACACAAGACAGGACACAGATTCTCTCAGAATGCATATTTAGTCTTTCTAATAATATCAAACCAGTCCAATGGTTGTATCTGTGTAGCAACATGAAAACAGGATAAAAAGACTTCTAATATCTGTAACATCCACCCATCCATGATCTTTACCCATATCTTCCTTTTCAGGTCATGGGGGTCACTGGTACCCATAACCAGCTACCACTGTGCGAGAGGCGGGGGACACCCTGGACAGGTCTCCAGTCCATCACAAGGACTAACATTCACGCTCTCACTCACA